GCTATTTGGCCAGCCCCACATTCTCTTTTTAGATGGCTGTTTATTCCAGACACCTGAAAGGAGGGAATCTCTGCACCAGTGAGGAAATGATATTCCTGACTGTGGAAATTCTAATCGAGCTACGTGTGTGTGTGTGTGTGTGTGTGTGTGTGTGTGTGTGTGTGTGTGTTTGTGCATTCCTAAGTAGGACACAATTCTGAATTCTAAACAGTTGAACAGTTTGACATCCCAGGTAATTGCATACTCTGTTCAAGTGAAAATTACCTCTTATTAGAAACTACCAGGTTGCAAGCAAATAAAGCAAAAGGTTTTCAAGGTAGTAACTTCCTTTACACTAATCAGGAAAATAAATACCTATGACTTTAACAAAAAAAATACCTTTTTGACAGTTGATATTCTGTTTTTGTGTATCATGACTAATAGTAATGACTGCAATTCATCACATTAGAAAAGGAATCAATAGTTCTAGCTGTACCAAATTAAAATTAGTTGAGACCCTATCTTACCCTGGCAGAGGCCAAAAATTACATCATTTCTGTATAGCCAACATCCAGAACTCTTTTTTAGTTTCTTTTGGCTTATGAAAAATCTATTATATAGCATCTGGTATGGGAAAACTAAACAAAATAGGTTAAAATAATACAGTAGTGACTATTTTATCTGATTAACTCTCCAGACAAAGTTACTCCATGTTTGCCTAACATTGGTAGAACATTACCTTTGGCGTAGGCAGTGCTCTGGACACTATATTTGATCCATTTTTTCCCATGCCTCCACCTTCAGGAGCTCTATCAGCGCTGGTGACTAACTACAATGAAGATATGAGCACCACAAGGGTGAAGTGTTCAGTCCAGGAGCTCAGAGTCATGTCCAAAACTCAAATCTAAAGCCATCTTAAATAGATATTAAATACATTCATTAAAATCAGTGAGAATGCATTATCTAATGAGACCATGGATGAATACCAGAAATATTTTTCATGTTCAAATGCTGGAAGAAAAAATGACTCTTCTTTGAAGTCATGCTTTATCTTTTATGATCAAGGTATTTATGAAGGTTATGCAGAAGTAGTGATTATACAGGGTCTCAGAGGATGTTCTTCTTGGACCCATAACTTGTCCTGAAGAATGTTCCTAACAATGGGTAGCACTGTCTTTACCTTCAAAGAACTTGGCATGGCCATAGATAGAAAAGCAACAAATACTGTCATCTAACACTGAAGATAATGGCAAATGCTATTATGAAGGATTCCTGTTAAACATTATAATAGCCAAATCTAAGGTTCCCTCCTGCTAGGATAGTCAGGGTAAGGTGATGTCAGGTTAGACGGTCAGCATCTGTGGTTCTGACTGCAGAAGTTAAAATATATATCCTCAGATGAACCTCTTTCTGATGGATGGCAAGCATCAAAGAGTGGCCCAAAACTCTAGAAGAAGTTGGTGCTGTTAGCTCTCATGAGACCACAACTCAGCCTCTACCAAGACACTTTCTGTCATACTGCTCCGGGGATCTGAAACTATAGGCCAGAGTGAGAAGGAAAGCTCTTTCTCATCCTTCTTCTCAAAGGAACTTAAGTATTTAAGCTGTCTCTACTTTACTTTCCCTTGGGAAGGCTTTAATGTACATTTTATATTCTGCCCCATCCATCCACACAGCTGTTATGCTTTTGCAGAAGAAGTAACCTAGAACTAAGTTGTACAATTTTTTTTTTTCGGAACTGGGGATTGAACTCAGGCCCTTGCGCTTGCCAGGCAAGCACTTATTCTACTGAGCCATCTCCCCAGTCCCCTAAGTTGTACAACTGATGACCATTTTCTCTTCTTTCCCATAACTGTGATCTTTATGGTAGAAAGAAAAAGACATCTCACGATCACCTTGGTTACCTCCACTACCTGAACAGTCCCAAGCCAGTACCAAAAGCAGAGACAACCCATGGGAAATGCAACTTGCACAGCAAGACCCAACCTCTTTAGCATCTCCTGAGCTTCAAAAGGGGCAGAAGGCACAAAACAGTAGTTAAATCTCTCTTAAATAAGGCTCAATCAGGACTGGCCAAATAGCTCACTGGATTAAAGCATTTGCAAGCAGGCACAGGGACCAGGGGTTTGATCCCTGGGCCTGCCCTGTTGGCCCCGCCTCCAGGGCGTGCTGAGATGGCAAATGAGACTGGGCACACCTGGATTACAGGTGTGCGTGGTGGTGCACACCTGTAATCCCAGCTCTTGGGAGGCTGTAAACAGGTGGATCACTATGAGCCTGATCTAGTAGTGAGACCCTGAACACCCTGTAGACCCTTCCCTAAAATACAGAAAATAAATACATAAATAAATAAATAAGGTTCAATCTTCATGGAGAGAAATTAGCATTATCACAGGCAAAGGGTCATCTTTACCCATTTCTATCCTTCCTCCTCCTGAGCCCTCTGCCAGAGAAGCTTTACAGATTCCCCAAATTCCAGTGGCAGAGCAACTATTTGTTCAGGCTCCCATGTACAGGTACATTCTGACCCTCTTATATTGGTCAATAAAAGAAAAAAATCTGTAACTGCTTTTTTCTAGTAATCATTCCTCAAGAATATACTACTGCTGGGGTTGGGGAGATGGCTCAGTAGTATAAGTGCTTGCCTAGCAAGCACGGGGTCCTGAGTTCAATCCCTGGTACTGAAAAAAAAAAAATTCTACTATTAAAAAACCTATAGCAACTTTTATGTAACATTTGAATGATATGTCTATATTTAATGGTATTGATGAACTATTAAATTTCTATTTAGAAATGAGAATGGCATTGTGATATGAGGTATTTTTAAATTGGTACTGTTTTTAGATCTATATAATGAAGTATTTACAGATTGAAAGATATCTGAGATTTGCTTCAAAATATGACAGGAGTGGCAGCAGGGGGTAGTATGGGTAAAGCAAAATTGATCTCAAGTGGGTAGTTGTGGAAGCCAGATGAGAGGCTCAATGTGATGCGCTTTTGTGTTGTGCTTTTGGGGTTAGCGTATGTTAAAATATTTCCATAGCAAAACCTCCTTTTAAAAGTATCCAATTCCCCCCACCGCCTCTTTTTCATGACCCTGCCACACTAGTAGCTAAGTTTCTCCCGGAGCCTCGCTCCCCCACCCGCGAAAAAAAGAATAAAAAATAAAAATAAAAAACAAAAAAAAAAGTATCCAATTGGTTAGAATTATTCTAAATTAATAGTAGAAAATCCTGTATCTGAGGAATACTTTAAAATATATATAACTTTGTAATTTAATGTTAAATAGAACAGGAAGATCAAAAAGCACACATAGAGTATGGCATAAGTCAAAATATAGGTGAATGTTTAATTTTTTTAATTTTGTTACAGCAAAAGACACATTGTCATTAAGCCCCCTCAGAATACTTCCCCTCACATCCTACATACTATCTCAACTTTTTTTTTCATTTATGTGTTTAGTACAGGGTCTCACCACACAGCTCGCACTCATGGTGATCCTCCTGTTTTCAACCTCCCCAGAGCTGGGATTATAGGTGTGCGCCACCACACACAGACTTGGTGGCCATCTCAGCATGCCCCCAGGGCAGGGCTGGTATGATGTGCAGGACCAGGCTTCCAACCTTTAGTGCCAAAGCAGGTGCTCAGTCCACTGAGCTATCTCGCAGGCCCTTTATCTCAACATTCTTGCCGTTTTCTGAATTCTGGAAGTTTGCTTTTGTGTCTTTAGGAGTGGTGATCAGAAATACAGGGAATGCTGCTGGCATCACTGGAAAAGCAGGATCGTGAAATGCCATGATGTAGCCTTAGCTGCCTTATACAGTAGATGGGGCACACCTTGTGACTTATGAGTCTTCCTTAAATTCAAAATCATGAAAATGTAAAGGGTTTTGAATTGATTCAGGGTGTGGAGGTAGCGAGGGCAGCAGAACTGAAGACACTCACCAAAGAGGTCTACTAGAACTGCTTCAGAAAATGGCAAGTAGGGATACGTGTATTCACAGGGGAGGGTGGTATCCATGAGTGCGATTAATGGCAATATGTCTTTTACTGTAATACATTAAAAAATTTTCTCATTCACTATACTATTTATCACACCTCATATATGCATTTCATATGGAAATGGAAAACGAAATGTAAATTGTGGTTGACCCAGGCCACTAAGAATACATCTTCTTCTGCTTGGAAGATAGCTTAGTGGCCTAAGTGCCTGCCTAGCAAGCACAAGGACCCGGGTTCAGTCCCTGGTACCACATGCCATGCTGGTCCCAGAACCCCAGGTGCACTGTGCAGGCCACCGAAACCAGGTGTGGTGTTGCATGCCTGTTAATCCCAGCACTGAGGAGGCTGAGACAGGAGGATTGCTATGAGTCCAAGCTACATAGCAAGACTCTGTACCAAATAAATAAATAAAAGATTTTTTAAAAAGAATACATCTTGTTTTACCTTGTTGTTAATTTTTTGTATATTCTAAAGATACTAGAAAAAAATATACTATATTTATAATTTTACTTATTATTTATAAATAAGCTATGCTTAAAATGTAGTGTTAGAAGAAAAAGTTTGCAGAACTGTATATGAAGTGAAATTTGAGTTCTATTTTATAACATGTGCAGATGGTATGTGTGTGTATTTAAAATAAACAGCATCAAATAGTTAACGGCAGTTATTTCTCCATGATGGTGTTTTATTTAGTGTTTCTTGGCTTATGTGTTTTCTTCAATTAATAACTAAAATGTTATAATCAGAAAAATATGACATGAAGAAAGAAAGCTACATTTACCATAATCCTTTATGAGTAAACAATTATTTAGGGTGACACAACACACAAGGAGCAACCTAGTACAAACACACAAAACAGATAAATCAAGGGGAATATAAATTCCCTTTGAAAGTGTATATTATGCTTTTAAACAAACTTGACACAAAACCCTTGAAATGGTCACAATTGTGTGGCAATGCCCTTGAACTTGTGGGCTCAATTCTTTTAATAATGCTCTTTCATCTTCTTCCCTCTTCAGGTATATCCATGCCCATCCCAGTCTTTGGGCTGCAGGATGATTCCAAGGTCTTCAAAGAGGGGAGTTGCCTACTCGCAGACGACAACTTCGTCCTGATCGGTTCCTTTGTATCATTTTTCATTCCCCTCACCATCATGGTGATCACCTACTTTCTAACTATCAAGTCGCTTCAGAAAGAAGCTACTCTGTGTGTTAGTGATCCTAGCACACGGGCCAAATTATCTTCTTTCAGCTTCCTGCCTCAGAGTTCCCTGTCTTCAGAAAAGCTCTTCCAAAGGTCAATCCACAGGGAGCTCGGGTCCTATGCCGGCAGGAGGACTATGCAGTCCATCAGCAACGAGCAGAAGGCTTGCAAGGTGCTGGGCATTGTCTTCTTTCTGTTCGTGGTGATGTGGTGCCCGTTCTTCATCACGAACATCATGGCTGTCATCTGCAAGGAGTCCTGCAACGAAGCCGTCCTGGGAGCCCTGCTCAACGTGTTCGTCTGGATCGGGTACCTCTCCTCAGCAGTCAATCCCCTCGTCTATACACTGTTCAATAAAACCTACAGGTCAGCTTTTTCACGGTATATTCAGTGTCAGTACAAGGAAAACAAAAAGCCTTTGCAGTTAATCTTGGTGAACACTATACCGGCTTTGGCTTACAAGTCTAGTCAACTCCAAGCGGGACAGAAAAATAATTCTAAGAAAGCTGCCACTGCCACAGATAATGACTGCTCTATGGTATCTCTAGGAAAACAACATCCAGAAGACACTTGTACAGATGGTAGCCACACCATGCACGAAAAGGTTAGCTGTGTTTGATGAGCTGGTTGCCATGGCAACTGTGGAGGCACAGGGAACTAGATGTCATCTACCTGGGGGAGAAAAAATAAGATTAGAAAAGAATTAAACTGTTCTAATGGAACTGAAACTAATGTCTATATGGTTCAATATATTCCATCTGTAAAAAGCAGGGTTAAATGCCACAGAACACGCATTTCAAAAATGTATTCTAAAATGTCTAGACCACATTTTAGATGATACTTTTAACATTCTCAATGACGTCTTTGAAATAATTAGCTTTTTGTGCAATTATAATGAGGCCCTAAATAAATCTAATCTAACTTCTGTTATCAAATGGAAATCTTACTATTTCTGTTGACAGCATCAGATTGTGTTGCTTTCCTAGTGCTGTAAATAAAAATAACTGTAAATAATGAAAATTTTGTTTAATATAATGGCCTCTTAAATAAAGACAGATTTGCTCTTTCAAATTTGTCATGACATATATTATGAAAGGAAAGAAAGGCACTTAAAGACAGTACTATGAAATTTGTATTGCTAAGACTATCAGGTGAAATATTTGTCAGCACTTCTCATTCCTGCTTTTTCATAAATATCACTCTTAAATATTTACAAGATTGCTGGTAGTGGCTGCATTTCAAGTTAATTATCAGGAGTGGAAAAGATTTTAAATATTATTGAACAATTGCTGCTTTCTCTTCTACTTGTGCTTTACTCTGAATTTCCAATGTGGTATTGTTTAATATTTGTTTTTAAATGTAAACTATCAACAGGATAATTTAACATTGCCAAATACATGTCTAGAAATTGCTTCTTTTAAACAGTACCACAGAGGTATTTGGTAACTTCCTGTAAAGTTACTGTATTGTGCATGAGCTCCTTTGAACTCTAAACAGTATGTTAATGTAACTGTGTCAAGGCTGAAAAATAAACTCAGGTTCGGGCTGTTTCCAAGTATAAAGCCTTAGGACATCTCTGTACAAAGTAGGTGACTTTCCAAGTGACATTCATTTGATGCCTTCAAATCAATAGTACATTTATATTATTTATTAAAATGATTTAGCTTGGCTGCATAATCATCAGTTGAGTACATACTTAGGAGTGGGGCAATTTTCTACGTACTAGGGATATGAAAACAATTAAAGTAAGATCCTTGCCTTTAGAGAAAATGACAAAATGAAATGGGCTTTCTCAAAAGTATATAAACAGACTTATTTTGAAAGTCAATTCAATTTATTCCCTTGTTACCTTGTTCAGAAATGGGTTTGTCTGAGCTCTGAAGGTAGTTTCCTCAGCTAAGTTTCCTGATTGGTTCCCAGTGAATGCCAACCAAGCAGGAAAGAGGGCAAAGATCACTCGAGGTCACATATTGTCATTAATCTGCCCCTCGGTCTGGATCTGTTATAACCATCAAAGTTTGGAACAAAATTTTTGTTTCATCCCTCTAAAAGTGCACTCAGTTTAGTATTGCTGACACTGGATTCTCTAAGAAAAAAAGAAGTTAAATGTGATATTTTGTAGAAATGGTTGCTAAAGAGAGAAAAGATGAAAAGCAGTTAATTCCACCTTGACATTGTCATACTTAAAACTGCACAGTTTTACTGGAACTGACGTTAGGTATTTTATTACAATGCTGATGCATGTCTATTGGATATGAAGTAGTCTTTATCTTAAATCTTTGGATAACATGCAGAGTTGAAAATTAAACTAGAAATCATCATTATGCAACTTGGAAATGTATTGAGGCTAGCCTAATAACGTCTTTACAGATCTAATTTGAAAGACAATTCACTATTTCACTGCTAGAATCTATAATATGCCAAGAGCAGCAGGGCTGCATTTCAAATGAACTATTCTTTAATGATAATACCAGTCCGAATGATGAAAATATAAATATTCTGCTGTAGCTTATTTTGCCTTAGTTTATAAATTTACACATTCCATTATATATTCGAGGAAAGATTACAGATTCTATGCCCATATACTCAATCTTGATCAGAGTGAAAATAAATATTTCCTGGCAAATGTCTTCTGGTTAAATAATACTTCAAGTGTGACTGTGGGATTTTTTGCTCCATAAGTATCTACTTAAATGTATATAGGTAAGCATGTAGCTGTATATATGTACAGACATGTTCCCGTGCACTTTATTCAATATTTATATATTTATATGGAAGAAGAACAAGTCAGTGAAAACAGTATTTACATACGTGTGCATGTTTGCATAACATTGATTTAAATGTGAATTCACGTTCCAACATTCCTATGACCTTCCATTAGTGTCGAAGGAGGTTAAAATGTAAACAAATTTTATCATTTAAATAAACTGGAAGTTTCCCTAATTTTGTGGAAAGACTTTAATACAATTCTATAAAGATGACAAAAACAATAACCCAGATGTAGACTCACTGATGGGGGGGGGGTGCTTTTGTTTAGTCTGGAACTTCTTGACTATTATGGCTTTTTAAGTAAACTCCTCACCCCAGTGGAAGAGTCCACGACAAAGGACTCACTCCTAACCAACTTTAAGTTAATCAAGAGATTTATCTACACTTAAGAAAGAAATTAAATGCAGTAGTTAGAGAAAACTCAATTTAAAGTATAGGTAATCTCTTGGCTACTTGGCGACATCGCCACCTCGTGGTCATTTCTTAAAGTGTTACCACAGTCAAGTTGAACTAAATTATTGTACTGCTTCTAGCAAAGGGTGCTTTTCCCAATTGTGCATCAATGAAATATTTATATAGTGTCAAATTCTTCTGTGCCATATGTAACAAATTCAGTGAAGATTATTTTATGTACTGATTTTAATCAAGATGATTCTAAAATATTTCAGGAATGAACAACTAATTGTAAATAAAGTACACTCAAAAGCAAATGCAATTTTGTGTGAGTTCATAGCTGTGTCTACAGAAGGTAATTGCCCTAAATCCTCCAGGTCATCAGGCTGGGGACACAAAGTAATGTTCTGATGCTCTGAGAATAAAACACCTATGCTTTGGGATCTCAGCCATGTCACAGAGCTAAGACTCACCTAGCTGTGTTAGTTTTACGATCATGATTCAGTTTGATTTGTACAGAAGATAGATGCTCTGAGTTTGCTTAATCTCTCTGCTTCCACACTTCACAGTACCACAGAAAATCTCTTGTGCACCCTAAGATGTGCGTGTTTTCAGGTGCATTACCATACACACATGTGTATGTGTACATGCATACACGCTACCTCACAGGAATTAAAGTGAACTAAGGAGATACAGCACTGCTAAATAAACTGCAAGGCTGCCCTACATCTTTCAGTAAAGGTAAAGTACATGAAATATGGACAGTAGATTTTTTTCAGGTGGCTAGAAGTCCATGTGATGTTTGTTTGCCATGTGCCAGGCATTAAGCTGGTCACTTTGTTCACATGAATCTAATGGACTTTTTACACCAATCCTACCAGGTAAGGTTGTTCCCTTTTGTCACAGATGAAAGAACAGAGATTCAAAGCAGAAATATACAATTCTTATCCATCATACAGTTGCTGAAGAAAGTGGCAAACTCCAGCCTCGGTCATTTGATCCCAGTGTATAAACTATTTTCGCAGTTTTACCTGGTACAAAAGAAAGGAAGCTTCAGAAACAAGACCTAGTCACTTGCATCTTACAGTGCATCTCCCACTGGCTATGAGTTTGGAGTGTTACTTAAGAGCCCTGCAAAACTCTAAGCCAGGCATGGTGGTGCATACCTGTAGTCCCAAAACTCAGGAGGCTGACGCAGGAGGCTCCTCATGAGTTTGAGGCAGTCCTGGGCTACAGAGTGAGTTCCACATCAGCCTGCCCTACAAACTGAATCCTTCTAAAAAGAAGCAAGAACCCTGCACTTCAATCACCTTTTCTCAAATGGAGTCATTAGCACCTGTCCTGGCTAACCAACAGTAGCTTAGATCAGATCATAGTTATAGCTGTTTTGTGCAGGAGCTTTTAAAAGAGCACATAAATATTATAAATGTGTTGCTGTTCAAAAGATGGTTGCTAAGCTCTGTATCAATAATTAGGCATCAGACCAAACTCTAAATGAAATTATGGATAGGCCGTATCTCACCTTGTACTATTCTTTCTGTGAATGAGTTTGATTTAAAAGGGGAAAAAATTACTTCCCCTTTATCCTCACTTTCATGCAGAATTCCCTTCATCAAATAACTTTTATTGCTTTCATTTAAATTATTCATCCTCTGTCCAATTTCCCAGTCTCTACCCTCTGGTAGAATACTCATAATTCATTGCAACTGATAAATCATTGCCTGTCCTTGGCATCTCTTCAGTTGTCCAGCAACTGAAGACAAGCATTTTAAATATCAAGGACACAAATAAGAAAACAAATTGAGGGATAAGAAATATTTACCTTGTATCTCTCAAATGAACTATAGAAAAGCAAGTACCTTTAATTCACTCTGTAATTTCTATATTTTATAACTCAATGTTGAGGTTTAATGCATGATAATGATGACTCTAAAAGAAATGTCAGCAACTTTTAGATTTTATTCTAAACTGTTATTCTATAACTAAGCTTCTCCTATGTTTGATGGCCAATGGATATTTGTTCCAATAGATACGAACTAAGACAAAGCTTCTCTGTTAATTCTTGATTAGTTGCATGTACCTTACAAGAGAGTTTCCCCTTTTCCCCCTTAATTAGATGCAGGCCAATTTTAATTCTGTTCTTTTTATTTATTTATTTAGGTATTTAACACCAGTGAGCTCCTAGAGGAACACATTATGGACCATTTTCCTACCAAACTGGAACTTCTTTTCCCATAAACCACTTGCAGAAAAAAAAAAACTGAGACAGGAAACCTAGGTCTACACAACTGTTCTTACTTGATTTTGTGCAGGTCACAGCTTCTTCTCCCTTCATTGTGAGATAAAGGATTTGAAGATAATGCTTTTGCCAGAAGTCTCTGCTAGGTTGAGGCTTATTTGAATGCTGGAGGGACCAGTCAGGACCGATGAACCAAGCAAGCCATAGTCAAATGTTATAGAAACATTCTGGAATTCAGAGCCTCCACATTCTCTTAAATTCTCTAGGTAGATTTCAAACAAATGATAACTTTAACATCTTTATAGGAATCATGAGATAAAGAAATTATTAATGATCTAAGGAGTTTCATAGATTTGAGGCCAACAGTCAGATACCAGAACAAATGTTCCTTACCCTAGCATTTTTCTCACAATTGACCTCTCCTTTGTAGTTTTTTGGCTACTATATATAACACTGAGTTACTTCTTTTCAGTCCTCCAAGTTTTCCAAAGAACAATTGCTCCTACTATTTGAGTTCAATTTCCCTAAATTCTAAAAGCTCAAATGCACTTAGAGTTCATGTTGTAGAGTTCTAAATGTATTAAAGGCTAGATTTTTGTTGACAGTGAGCCAAGTTCATTTAAGTTTTTATTTATAATTAAGATTATGAGATCCTACAATGGTGTTTATTCTATCTTCTAGAGCACAGCATAGCTTGTACTTCCTACCCTACATTTTATATATTCAGGAGTAATATATACCATTATTCATATCATCTTGGTATAGTTGAGTAACCCTAGTAGCAGATTATTTATGTTGGAGGTAAAGCCAGGAAGCAGACAGAATTAGGGGAAACAAAAAACTTTAAGTGTGTGTTACAAAAAGTGCCTGGTCTGTGACTACAGTATATGGATACTGGGTTGAAGAGTCAGTGCAGCAAGCTCCCTATTCTGTCAATAGGTCTGTTAGTGGGGCTCCACTATGTGTGTGTTACATGCAGGACATGAAAGTGTAGCAGATTTGGAGATAAAATTGTTTTTTTAAAAAATGGAATAAGGTATTTCGATGGAAGGTTATCCAATCCTCTTTACAAAAATCAGGCTTATGTTGTGTCTTCTAAATTTATTACACATTAGCCTAGCTAAAATGTTGGTAAATTCACACACACACACACACACACACACACACACACGCTCACAATGCGACCATCTGAGATGCTGCCCCTTGGAGCAATGTTCCACTCTGACGTTGGTGTGCCTACAACTCTTGACACTAGGGAGAAGCAGAGCAATGTGGGCCACTTACAAAAGTGTCCACAATGGAAAAGTTACAGATTAAATTTTATGGAGGAAAAATAAAGTAGAATAGGCAACATCTGTTTCCCAGCTTCAGTATTAAAGTTCTGCATCTCAAGACCCAGGTTCACAATAGAGCATATAAAGAACAATATGGAAATGCATGGAATTAAGTCAGCATGGCCAGGCACACCAAGAAGCAATTTTGAAAGAAGGATAAAGTGAATGAAAAATAAATGACAGAAAGGAAACTAAATTGTTTGCTCTATACACCTTTAATAAGTTGTCTCTTTGATATTCCTGAAAGAAGGCAAAGCTATTTGGTGTTTAATTTCTAGAAATGAGATGATGGGACATTTTCTGAATTAGAAAGAAAATACACAATTGCTATTTATTCCTGAGTGATTGTGAATATGGAAAGCTTAAGACAACTGAACATCTGCAAGGCTTGAGAGCAAGAAGAATGATATGCATGCGAGCATCATGCTTTAGCCAGTCTTTCAACATAGTCACCCAAAAGCTTCACTATGATGAATTTATTTCTGCACTTCTGTATAGTAGAAGACGGAGGCTACAGCTCCCACTTGACCCTGTGCCCATCTGCTGCATAGACTTAGCCATATTCAGAAACTCATTAGGTCCACTCAAAATAATAAATCTTATCAAACATAGAATTAGAATCATGATTACAATGCAAATATTAAATTATCTCTGTACTAAGCATAGTAAATAAATTATTGAACTTATAGATGAGTTTACATAATGTACTATTTCAAGAAATTTAATGACTTCAAAAGACAAACTCTTTATCCTTTGATAAGTACATATGTCCTTTATTTGAACTAAATAACAGTCTACACTGCTAATGGCTGTCAGTGGTTCTACTTGATTCTACGAATTCAGGCATTAGCAGTAGCATGTACGTAGTAGCATGCACAGAAAGCACAAATTAGCAGTTTCCACAACTTAGAAACAGTGAAACCAAGCCCAGTATGATCACCCTACTATGACAGAGGAGGATACTAGAAAAGGAAATATAGAAGAAAGCATCAATCTTTATTGAGCAATGCCTTTGTCCTAAGACCCTTCACGTATATAATTATTATATAATTATGTACACAAGATAAAGCATCATGCTATACTCCTGGAAAGTGTTTCTTAGAAGGAAATTGGACCAGTTTTACCAAGACAAAGTATGGAATCCAAATGCAGACCTGTGTGACTCTTAAGCATTCAGCTTCCTACCTGCACCTTGATAAAGGTCAGAAATATTTTTTGTAAAGACAAATAGTTTTAGGTTCTGAGGTCCATGCAGCCTGTCACAATCATTCAACTGTGATGTCATAGAAAGACAGTGGCCCTAGACAATAAGCAAGTAAGGTGACAGGACTCTGTTCCAATAAAACTTTATTTACAGACATAAGCTACAGGCTGGATTTGGTCCCTGTACCATAACAGAACAACACCATCCAACAAATACCAATTAAAGCAACTGCAACGTGTAGTACCACCATCACAACTATTCATTTGAACCTTTATTGAACGTTAAGTACTGTGTTAACCCTGTATATCATGTCACTTAATGCCTACAACACTAATAGTACACATTTGTACTTGCATTCTCCATTTTCATTAAGGAATTTACCCAGAGCTTACATATAGCCTACCAGTGCTGGAGCTGTATTTTAAACCAACATGCATGCTCCTCACCGCTTTTGTTCTCTTTCCTTCTTACTCCAGAAGTCTCAGAGATCTTTCTACCATGCC